CGATGGGTGCCACGGAACACAGGATCAACAGTATCGCTTCCGTTCGTCAAAGGAGCTTTTGAACATCACTGAAAGCGACCCAGAATATTTTATCGCCCGCCTTGTGACTGGGGCCGAGACGTGGCTTTACCATTGGGTCCCCGAAACGAAACAGTCTATGCATTAGAGGCATTCAATGACTTCCCCCCCCCTCTTCCGAAAAACTTTTAAGACGCAACGCTCACGGAAGAAAGTGATGGTGACCGCAGGGCAATAACAGGCGAATATTATTCTAACGTTCTCCGAAAACTGCGTGAGGCCATAACGGAAAAGCGAAGAGGATTGATGACAAGAGGCGTCCACCTCCAGCATGACAACACCCCCGTTCACAAGTCTCGTGTTGCCCAGGCTGTCATACGAAATTGTACTTCCGAAGAGCTTGACCACTCACCCTACAGTCCTGATCTGGCCCCTAGTAACTTTTTTATTTCCGAGTTTAAAAAACAACTAAAAGGAAGAAGGTTCGATGAGTTGATCGCAGTGCGAACTGCCACAGAGCAGTGGCTTGACGAAAACAAAGGAATTTTTTTTGTGTGTGTGAGGGTATAAAAGCCTTCAAGGTAAATGAGAGAAGTGCATTAGTGTGAGAGAGGATTATGTGAACAAAAAATATTTTTTTTACAAAGCCCTAGTAGCTTTTGCTATATGTGAGTTGCAAACCTTTCTGATTGCCCGTGCTATTCGATTCAATCAATATTCTCACTCCCCAATCAGACTGCGTTCTTCAGATACGTTTGTTCTGTAGAACCAAAAAAATCAAGCCATCTTGTTGGTCCTGCCAACAGTGTAGGATATTTGTATATATAATTGAAGACACTGCGCGCGTCGTAGCACCAAGACAAAGCCCTATCGTCGCCTTGATTGAAATTGACGCCACCCGATTATCTTCGATGTGAGGCTAATTGTAGCCTGTCGCGGATCCCGTTTCCCATGCTTCACTATGGGAAACACGATAGCTTTTAAATATTTTCTAAGTGCGCCACGTCATGTAAAACATGGCACTCTTGATATGCGTGTAGCGTATACAGAGCCTCCTCACTAAAATTAGTTTCGTACCTCAACATCGCGAAAAATAGTTTTTGAACGATTTGAAGCTGATATGTCTGTGGCGCGGCGCTTGCGTCGCAGTAAAAGAATGCGCGCCTAGCAAAACGCGCACGTGCAGAGGTGTCAGTGCAGCCACATGTTTGTTTCCCCAATCCCGCCTGGCTCATCTGGTTGATCCCGTCACCGCGTGTGCAGTGCTACGTGCCCTCACCTATATACACTCTGCACCAACGAAAGTTTTTTTTAATATTCTTAAAAAATGAGATTGTCAACAAAAATATTATTTTTTTCCGGAAAATATTGCCAGCAACCTTGGAAGTTTAGTATCGAAAAAAAAAGAGATTAAACGCCATGCACTAGGATGCCACAGCAGGGTTGCCAACCAATTTGTTCAAGGAGATCTCGGATGGTCATCTTTCGAGGCGCGTGAAGCCAGCAGCAAACTTGAATATTATGCCCGATTTCGACATATGAATGGAAACCGTTGGGCGAGGAGGATTTTCGTTTACCTTCATCTGAAAAAAATCGTTTACAACTCCCTGTAACGCCGAAATAGAGCGCAGTTCTCAAGGAGGAGGAGGGGAAGCTATGGAAAGGGGGCTATGCCTCTCATCCTCTCCTGCTCGGCTCCTATTTCGAGGGAAATTGTCCGCTTGATTTAGCGGGAAAAATTCCCCGCTAAATTTAGCGAGGAAATTTACCCATCATGCACCGCGCAGTTAAGCCGACGGCGGCGCCGACGCCGACGCCGCTCAAGCCGGATAATTTAACTAAAATTTTCGAATGACCGTTTCTAATTAGCCATAGTAAACTAATGGCTCGAATGAGAAAGTTCCTAAGCATCAACAAAAAACACTAAATCAACGATTTTAAAAATATAAAAGGCAAGGGCAGCATTCTACAGCGTTCTAAAGAAACGCTCGATTTGGAAGCGTTTTCTAGTGCCTTTCAATCTCGCTCCCGGGTGGCCGTGGCGCGAAGCCACCGCCTCGCCTCCCCCGTAGAATAGAGGGAAGTATGAGGCACGTGTGTTCAGCGTCTCGGCCACCGAGAAGCAGGACTGCTAAAGCAAATGTGCGCTCCGGAAAAAAAAAAAAAAAGAAAAAACGCGCGTCAAAATTGTCAGCAATGTCGTCTGTCTTTCATTTTTTTTCCTTTGTCTTTGTCTTGTTCCGCTGTTTCAATCCAAGAAGCTCAGCAACCAACTAGCCCAATCATACCTTTTATCGCGTCAAAATTAAACGTTGTTGTTTTGTTTCCTAACGCCCGAACATGCTATTCTTTTTTTTATATCCTAATAAACTGAGTAGATTCTGGGGTTTCCGATGATGCTTAGCAAGTTTCTAATGGGAATAATGCGTTTATTGTCCTTAGTTATCAATTTGACTAGTAAACTATAGCTAAATATTTACCTAATTTGTTCGTTTTCTTGCATTTGTAAACAACCACCGTGGCTGGCAGTTTACTTCAGGAAAGAGTTTACATTTTTCTCAACTCTTAAGGGGCGCTGAAGTCGATACTGAGACCGTCATTTTTGCGGTGACAAATCAATCTAGACGCTCTAAGCATCCCAAGAAACCCGAAATCACAATCGTACGTAGCTTGTTTCCTCGTTAGAAGTAGGTTCAAAGATCGCCACACGCCCTTTTTGCGAAGACCTTTCTTCCGAGTGAATTAAGTGGTTCACGAAAGGCGCTTGTTGTCGAGTTGCAAGCGATGGCTTCGCCCGCGGGGGAAAAGAGGAGTCTTATTAGAATGTGTACCTATCAGAATATCTTCGAAACAAGTTATAATAAAATCAGTCGGAATCCGCGTATGGTACGGTTTTCATTGGTCCACACAATGTAGTCCGCGAGAAAAAAAGTGTTCACATGTTTTCCTATTGCCCTGAGATGAATAGGTGGTTTTGTAATATAGGAATGGGTATATGTGGGAACTTACACATTTTAAACAATGTAAGATCAAAAACGACCTTTTTCAAAATGATTTCAGTGCCCCTTTAACAGGCTGACAAAAGTCAGGAGTCAAAAACACATACCTATTTGTTTAAGACATTCTACTCTGCTCACTGATTTCAAACGGCGTGCCTACAGCGCAAACTCCTTTCCAAGTGCTAGGAAGAGCCATTGTCGAGGAAATGCGTGCGCATCTGGCTGCTCATCCTGCCGGCGTACACCGTGGGGGAGGGCTCCCGGCGACGCACAGAGGCACCGAATCGCCCAAGACAGACGAGACGGACGTCTGCGCTGTTTCGACGGGTTTTCACGACAGTAGTTGGCGGCCTTACCGTCTTGCGATCCAAAGAGGAAAACACCGAGGCGGTGCGCCTCCAGCCGTTCCAACTACGCAAAAGGTATCGGGGCCCAAGCCATTTGATTTTAGCCAGTTAAATGTATTCCCCATACCCAGTTTCAGCTTAAATTCATACACAGCCTAGGCTAAGACCAAATTGCACCAATCAAACAGATTCAAAAGGCCACGTCAGTGGGCCTTTCTTGATGAATGGTTTTAGCGATGTTAGAACACGTACATCTAAAAACTGAACACCATGATTGTGTTGTTTTGGCGCTGTCTGGTTAGTTCCATCAGCTCGTAGCGTGCCATACGATTACATTATTAAGTGGAAGTGACACTCTCAGAAGAATAATTCTAACGGAGAATTCGGGTGGTCAATCGCCGGCGAGATCGAGTTGGGAACATTGGCTGCCAGAAACGCGCCGGCGGCACATCACGTGACCTTCGCCACCCGAACATGAAACGCCAGACGGTGGCAGTTGACTTTGCTGCTTTCCCGCAACACACCGCTGAGGCTTTCGCCGCGGTCCCGCCACCCATGTCCCTCGGGTTCTCCACTTCCCTCGTGGTATTCTCCCAACGGCTTGGATTGACTCGAGTATTGGCTGCAGAAGTGACATCAGATCAGTGTAGTTGTCTCGCTCATCTTTTTTCACTGACCTCAACTTCCATTTAAAGGGTAGCAACACAGTTTGGCGCCCTCTCGCCTGGCCGTTTGGAGCTCGGGCGTAAAAACTCCCGGAAGGTTGCAGGTGCTTGACAGACAACAACCACCGGAAAGGTGCGCGCCTGCCGGAAACTTACCGCGCAAGCACAACTGCCGGTGCTTCGTCAACATCATGCAGTTGCCCACGATTTACAACCTGAATTCGCCGTTAGGTGACTACATTTCGGCAGTATCATCGGTTTCATTATTTTCGCAGTGCTCGTATCAGTCGCAAGATTTAACCTTTGAACACAATGTATACGATGACTCATATTTCGTGTCATCCAATAATTTAAGCGAAGTGGAGAGCTAGTCGACATAAACACGGGCACAAAACTCCGAACCAAAAATGCACGGTCACGGCGCGTGCCCCGCACTTGCTTGGGTCAGCCGGTGACAACGTGCGTATCGATTTACGACGAGCATCGTGACGAAGCACTTTTGGTGCGGATTGATTGGCTCCATCGGATCGGAGCGTCGGTGCGAAAAGGGGTATATATCTAGAAAAGTTCGCTTTCAAATATTACGACGCTCGCGGTGACTCCGCGTAGTTACTCCATCGACGAGACACCCCGACTAATTATTAGATACATTTTTTTCTAGAATAATAGCTTCCGATTTGGCGTAATTATACGGCAAGAAAGTGAATGCCGAGAGCAAGTCGTCCGGTTCTTGCGCAGGAGTTGCGGTGACGTCAGAACGAGACCGAGATCTGATTGGCTTTGATTGAAGGGATAGTGGGTGGACCTCAATGCTAGATGCCTTCGGGTTTACCCACCAGTTTTGTTCGATCAGCGAATAAGAGCTCGGCGTTCTGACATCATTGAAACCCCTGAGTAAGTAGCAGACGACACTTGCACTCTGCATAGGAATCTTGAAAGAAGCACTCGATTTCAGCTGAATTCAAACTCACGCGTAATCGTAGCAGTGATTGGTGACTTTAGACATCACGGTGCCGTCGAAGGCTGTGTGATCATAGAGAAGTGCCGACCCTCCGTCTTCCCCGACAATCACCTGGATCGAGAAACCAGGAAAAAAAACTTTCTGAGCATTGTTTCACGGAGCATTGTTTTGCTATGCGTCGTCAGTTGCATTGTCATTTTTGAATGTGAATATTAAACAAGAAGTAATGAGAATGGTATATTCCTGCGTTAACCTCAAGCTTAAATCTTAGAAGAACGGAGGGGCGCAGTTATGATGCATGCCCCTGACTCTGTCCTCATTTTTTTAAGATGTCCCGTATTTTGGTGACCGAGAGTGTGAATGATAACGCGCGTATTAACGCCCGGCTTCCAGGACGCGTTCATTGCCTTCCGTCATGCTTCGACGTCGTGCGAGCTCGGTGCGCACGAGATGCCGAAGCGTCGCCGAAGGTAAGGCTCGCTCTTCATGGGGGTTGCACGACTTAAGCTCCTTCCTGCCGTTCTTACCTTGTCAGGGACTCTAGTAAGTCTGAAGTTGCCGTAGATAATGTGTAGCAAATTTAGGAAGGCGTCTAGGCACGTCATCTAGGAAATATAATATTTTTATATGGAAGAGCAAATTATTTATGCAGTTCAAGATACGTTTCCTGATTTCTTCCCTAATTTACCTAGCGGTTCAGTGTTCACTGTTAATGTAAGATACATTCCTTAATTCAGCTTCCTCCGCCGCTTATTGAGACACGTAAAAGTGGTAGGTTCCTTGCTTGGCATTCGCCAACAGAAATTGCTCTTACATTTATGTGAAGTGCCAAACTAATATAACTACCCAGAGACCGGAGCACAGTAGACACGGTTAAGGCAAGCAGTTTCGTTGAGTAACGATTGCCAAACGTAAAAGGGCTCTTGTCGGTACTATCGCGGTCACACCTGGCTTTAACAACTGTCACGTGGTGGTGTGGCCTCTACCTGGAGGGTCGAGGCCACCGCCCCGCCCACGCACGGCGCACTCCCAACCCCGCGCATGCGCGGTGCTGGAAATACCAGGCGGCCACCGGTCACGTGCTCTACCCAGTTGTGTGCACCGTGATAGTGCTTAGCGCCGATGAATATCCCCATGCATTCGAGCGAAGTAGCGGGCGATTCAAGATGGTCTGTTTCTACGGAAGACTACCCGTTGTCCTGCTTACCTGAACCGGCTTGTCCCACCATCGATTGGCTCCATATTCGGCGTTCGGACCGCCCTTGTATACCTGCCGGGGCCAGGCCACTTCGTAGGGATCCGCGTCTTCCAACCCGCCGTCCAGGCACACCACGAGGGCAGCCTTCTTGATTGCTTCCAGAAACGCCGCGTTCTGGGAATCTGCGTCTCACAATGATTGAATTGTGCCATTCTGTGTTCTATAAACTTGGTTCCGCTTTGCGAATTACTTTTTTTCTCAATTTTTTTTATTTATAATCAGAAGTTTTTGTCGTTATTTTTCTCTCTCAGATTTTGCAGTCCTAAATTGTACGGCACTTATGACGTTGTGATTCCCTGGACAAGTTCATTTGTTTTTACTTACACCCGTTTTCACCTCAAGAAAAAAGTATGTTTTGCTTATTGTTCATACACCGCGCGAAGGAGTTCATACAAGTTTTGTTCGTCGGAGGAAGAAGCGATGCTTTTTGGCGTTTGAAACGTGCACGTCCTGATAAGCTAACACCCCCCCCCCCCCCCCCCCATATCTAATCTTAAACTCACCTGCATATATCTTTATTTTCTAAGTAAAGGGGGGAATTAGTAGTGCTCCGCGAGAAGCCGGACTTTTTTTTACTGCGGTTCTTGATGTGAAAACGAGTGTAGTATTCTCACACGTCGGTCTGCAACGGCCACGTACCAAACATCTTATACTTTGTTTTACCTGTAAGAAAACATTGAAAAGGAAACCACATTTTTTTACAGACTAAAAAAGTTACAAATTACACGCTATAAATATTTCGCTACACATTTCTTGTTTTATCTTGAAATTATTTACAGGGTTAAACTTAATTTCGTTTAAAGCTTTCAAACGACTCCGCCATAAACCTCCACTACACATCCACGCAGAGGGCATCGTTCTCCTTGCCTACCTCTCCTTTCCTTACCTCGCCTTAGCGCATATTAGCGCTCCTCCTTTCTTCTTTTCTCTCTCGAGCGTGATTTCGCAGTGCGGAAGAGAGGGAAGCAGAATTCGAGAACGCTGCCGTTGCATTAAGATGGGAATTTGGGCCAGTTGCTTCGCCGAAAAAAACAAGGACAAGAAGAGACGTAAAAAAAGGCGCTGTTTACGTCTCTTCTTGCCCTTGTTTTTTCGGCGCTTATCTTCGCCGCTGCCGTTGCCTTACCTTGGCACCTTTAGCACGCGCGTTTGAAAGCTGCAAACTAGAACGCGTCTAGCGCTGTAAGTAATTTTACAACAAAAAACAAATTCTAGAGCCCATACACTTCACATGAAGATGAGGACCAGCGAAGCTGTTATCTTTACGACAGCTATATGACATCTACACGGTATACATAGGATTGCAATGAAGACACGTCCACGACTTTGTTGTTTAATTGTCTTTATTCAATTCTTAGTGACTAAAGTTATCATTGCGTTATGGTCACTTATGGGCAAGTTCTAAACCCGAATTACCGAAGCGCACCTCAAGGACAGTTTTTTTTTTTTTTGCAATTGTGCTCAAATATTTTTGTCAGCATCGCGGAAACGAAAGAAAAGTAGGTTAGATCGGCCCGTTCTGCCCTCAGCCTCGTCACAGCACACTCTCTGCTGAGATAAGTCGGTGACCGTACATGATAACAAGGGATCAGGACCTCAATATCTAATAATGCCAAGGAAGGCTGACTCACGCGGGCTTCCCCCTCTTTTTCTTTTTTCTACTTCTCCTGCCCAATCGGAACGAAGGTGAGTCGTTTAGACGGGAGTAGCTTTGTTAACATTCACAGAGCCATTTTTTTCCAAATCCTAGCACATAACAACTTCGCTGTAAATTTTTTTTTTTTTTTTGCAAAGCATTTATTTACGCGACAGCTTGACTTTTAGAAATGGGCGTAGAACGGTCAGGAAAGGAGAGATAATCTGTATAGGTAACAACTTAAGCCTGCAAAATATATTTGTTTTCTATCATTCGTAATTTTCCGAGGCTGTTTAACGAGATGTTTCTTTTGTCAGTGTCCATTTGAGTACAGACACAGCCAGCGACACGAGCTGATTGGATCAATCACACACCGTCAAAAGCGCACCCTCGTGGTGTTCCTCATGTTTCTGTGTCGTGTTCTCTGGTTGCTGAACCAACCATAAACGGAAAAGACCCAGCTGACTGCGATTTTAACGTTGCTCAATTGACCCCTTTACCTTGTGGCGTCAGCTGCGTACGGACTTGCCGAAACCATGTATAAACTCTGTTTCACGTTAAGTCTTGCTGGCAGTCAACGCCACGATCGAGTGAAGAAGTCAAAGCAAATCCAAAAGTGTAACGGCATAGTGCTCGCTGTCTTTATGAGTTTCCTTTGACCGGCTGAACTAATCCCACACACTGAATACGGCGTGATCCTCCAATATTTATTTTGTTTCTGTCTTTGAGCATGATTGATTTGTGCATGATTCACCACACGCACAAAGTCGACAAGCGAGTGTGACGCAATTTCGACGCAGTTTCATTTTATCCATTTGATTGTAGATTCGACTCCTTTCTGACTTAATGTGAAACGAAATATAGATTTATGTGCTTGTAATGGGAGTCATGTCGTTTTGAAGCCAGAGACTGCGTTGAGAAAGAAAAACAACAATAACTTTAGAGTAAAGAAGAAGAAAAAAAAATAAAGCGCAGGATGCGAACGCCACGGGGTTCCAACGATATCATAAGTGACTTTTAGCAAATGGTTACCGTTGTTCCGCGTACCGCGCTATCGGAGCCTTTGAAGCACGCTTTTAAGCAGGCGGACCGTGGTCAAGGTGTCCCCCGGGCGCGCGCTTAAAAGCATACATCAAAGGCTCCGGTAGAGCGGTACGTGAAACACGCTAACGATTCGCTCAAAGTTCCTGTTAACTACTGCTGCGATCCGATCGAGTAGCGGAAAAAGTGGGTCGTCGCTGCTCTCGTCGATTTTATACGTTTGCTATCACCAGCCTGCGTCAATCAGGCAAAAAAAAAACAAGATCTGGAGCCTTTACGCAAATCGTTTGAATTAATTCATGCTCCCATAAGAACTGAATTTAAAACCGCCCGCGCGATATGACCCTTCAAATCATAAATAAACAAATTTATCAAAAATTTTTGTTATTATTCAACTTATCGGGATGAATAAGTCCCCTTTTAATTTTTGCCTGACAACGTGCACAGACCCTATTGGCGTAGCTTCCACTGATGTGCCCCAGGGTTTATATTCCTATCAAGACATCTCAATTTATTGAGGAGAGTAATTGAGGGGCAGGCTTCAGTGGCACGTTTACATGGGTTCTGCTTCTTCCCAGGGTGCGTTTTATGCCTTTAGTAATTCTTGCAGTTCCTGCATCGTAAGTCGTCCAGTGTGGTAGTTGAAGTAGTCGGCGAGTAGGTCCATTTAAGACCCATTTATAAAATTCACACTCCTTCTATTGGCGTTCCTTTCATACACCGTCAGCCATTATTGCGCGAACGCACAAAACACGTGCGTTGAGAGAGTGCTGGGAAGTCATTCTCTTCTAAGGGTTGCTCGATGCGTGGGCATTATGCTTTTGGCACATGTGGTGCTACTTGCAAAACAAGCACAGACAGATCAATGCAATATAGGCTTTCTTCAAGCCCCTTGACAGAATAGACCTTTCCAGAAAACCCCACGAGACTAACTGAGTTAAAGGCTTGAGTTGAGCTAGTTTCTACATATACTTCGTATTGGTCAGCATGAACTTGTGTAGAGAAAGGAAGAAAGTAGGAGAGAATTCACAAGCGGACAATCAACTTGCTTTAGTGAAGAAACTGCCTTCTTTATTTTTTACGCATTCACGTACTCTCCAAAGGTCGTATCAATACACAAATTATTATAAACAAAATATATAAAAATTTCAAATTACCATTCTGCTACAAAATTGCTACACATAACACACTTTTGTCATAACCCGCCGAAAACCAAGCTATGAGTCAAGCGGCAGTGGCATACTTCAGAGAGATTTTCTTTAGCATGGATGGCGATGAACGAGAAGCTAACACAATGATTCGCGTGACCATCAAGGGCCACTGCCTCGAGCATCTCATGAGCAAAAGGGTTGTTGATTCTTAAAAGTATTGCTATTTTTTCAGACATTGCAGTGCATTCGCACGTTCTGTACGCGCTGACAAATGTCCTGCTTCCATTCCCTTCCAAGACGCTGCGTGCTCCATGGTTCTGAAAATGTTGTATCTGCCTGTTTGTGCGATATATTACTTGCGGCAGGACAGGGGATTTTAATAGACAACCTCCGTCGTGCATGGACCACATTTTCTTCGGTGGGAGGTGTCACATGTCGTACTTTGGACATTTTCTTTGTTGGACTTTCTGCACATGACATCCCTTTTGTTTGGTGCAGATGTAATGACCTGAACGTCCTGTATTTTGGCGATTTTTTTCAACTTGTGTCATATACCATGCCTGTGCGGAATGACAGCAATATTTCGTGGAGATCCTATCTTTTGTTCAATTATTGTCTTCTAGCTCTTCATGTTCGTGCCGATAGATTCACAAAAGGCTTCCAGTAGGCCGTTTCTGTAGCCAGAATTCTGTAGACGAGTAATTTGTTTATCAAATCTTGGTCCCATTCGATGATGACACGATTTATTTAGAGTGGAGAGTAGTCTTTCTCCAACTATCATTTTAATAGTTTTGGGATGGCTTGATTGAAAGGCAAGAAATCCTTTATCTGTCCTGGGTTTCGCGTTAAATTAGGGTACAATTGTCGCCAGTCAGCTTGAAAAGAACAGGTTTTATATACATTATTTACATAACACTGTCACAGACGAATTGTGCTGGACTCTCCGTCGGTGATAATGTTACTAGATTAGCTCAGTTGTGAAACTGCCGCAGAGGGCGGTACCCCCCTCAACTCCCATTCAATTGGTTACCCCGTCATTTGAAGTGCCACCTACATTTTTGTTTAAATACTGTGTGTTCCATAGAGTACGGCGAAGCGCCATTTCGACGCGCTGCTTCAAAATATATGAATGTCGTAAAATACACCGAAGTGACCAGAGAAACCGTTTTAAAACAGTGGAGTGTAAAATGACCGGAGGCGAGCAGTAGGAAGAGATCGGAAGAGGGAGGAGGGGCGGTATTGTTTAAGGATGCAGCGTTGATGGGCGGTTCCGTAACTGAGCTGCACTATAATCGGTTACAGGTTACGAGTTCACGCGAAGGTGCTCCCAGCCTTCTCCACTTTAGCAGAGCGAACGGTCCAGAGGAGGTCGCCTGCCCTCTAGCGTTCTCTCCGCTAAGGTGGAGAGGGGAGGGAGGGGCGTCTCCTAAGCTATTAACCTGCCCCCGAATATAGGACTAGAGACGGTTGGTGCGCTATGTATTTTAAGAAGCAGGGCCCAGTACGCCTGTCGGGATCCTGCTACCGCAGACTCCCGTTAGCCATACTGGGTACGGATCGCACGGTTTGTGCTTCAGTTCTCACTCAGCCGCGTGGTAAATATTTTTATTACAGTTTCTTGCCCCTGATTATGATTACTTATGGTTAACTTTGATTAAGTCTGCCCTCCGCTTGGAAGCTTATGCAATGCCTCATATATGCCAAGTATGCTTTATGTTATCTGGTCCTGCGTCTAAAGCGTGTTTCCTACAATCGAGCGTGACACTTTTCGCATGATATCCAGCCTATAAACATATTCTGAGTTAAAAACTGAATTGCGACAACAACTCATGACACTCGCCACGGACGACAGGCAGAAACACGTCTCCGCACAATTGACCTTTCTTTTCTTGAGCTCTTTGATTTGACATGAGAACAAGCCAAATGTCCGGCTTAATTTGAAAGGTCTGTCACTTTTATCATGCCTTAAGTACGCAGTATAGAAAAGTCCCTATAACAAATATTTATTCCCTAAGGCCAATGTTCTGAAATGCAGTTATTGAGACCTTTAGCAAGATAGATAATAAAACAAATGTCCTACTCTGTCTGGGCCGAACTAGGAAGATATTTCAGGAATGCTTTTCTCAAGAAAGCAGTCAGAAAAAAAATATTTTCTTTTGTGGAGCATTGGCGTCATTATAGATAACTCTCTAGTTTGCGAATCTTAAAAAAATAATGCCTAATAGAATCAAGCAGTGGCCAGTAAACTTTCAAGTTCATATGTTCCTTGCGATTTAGCATGGTTAATCAAGTTATGCACCTGCTTATTCACTCTGCATTTATGCACTAGTCTCTTCCTTCGCTTATTTTTTCGCGAGCTAGTGCTATCAGGAACGGCCATAGGCGACGCTTCTCCTCGCTGAGCATCAGTTCAGCTGCTTTGTCGCCGAATCTAGCATAAATTAACAACAAACGTAATCAAATGCATAAAACGTGTTCACGCATCAAACAAATACCTGCAATTCAGGCTGAAAATAACTTCATGGTTTTAAACGTAGCCCAGTACCAATGTTGTCATTGTTTGTGGGCTAAAAGGGACACATTTTCATCACACAATTAATCAATGCCACATACTACAGCAACACACCCCCGTGCACGTTGAAGCAGAAACCACCCAGGTTGAAGCAACGTAATGGTGGCAAGTGCGTCACAATCCTCTATCCGCCGGTCAGGCAACTACTGAGTTGAAAAGACCGACAACATTGGGTACCCTCCAACGTCCGCGTTCTTATGCAATGACTTGCACGCTCCCCGATTACAGTTGTTCCGCCATTGTGCAGTGGTTCCATCATTCTTACAGACGGCTTGTGCCTTTGGAGAAATGGGGAGAGGGGGCAGTTGCATAAAATTTAAAAAAAGGCAAAATTTCGATTTGAGAAAATATTCTGCCATAGTTTCTTTCACCTAAAGTCTAGACGCAGCCGATGCTATGGCCTAATTGAGCAAGTCGGACAGCGTCAAAAGCGGACAAGTGCGGTGTTCGTCATGCTTTTGTAGGTAAAAGAATCATGAGCAGAAAAGACCTAATGACTTGTGCTTTTGACACTGCGTGATTGACCCTGTTACCTCAAAGCAGCTCCTGTATTTGAGCTTAAGCTGAAACAAAGTATTGTGAATAAAATCACACTGGTCTTGGCGCCCACAGCTTAAAGGCCGGTTCTCACTTACAGTGGGGCACTTACATAGCGGTGTTAAAGTGTCGTCAGCTACTTATTGGCTCCCTTGATCAACCGTTTTGACAGTGCGATACAGATATGGTGAACGCTACCGTGATCATGCGTTTTATGTGTGAACAGGCCTTTACCGTAGTTGAGACGGCAGGTCGCGCGTGCACCGCTTCTGGGTTGTGGAGGGATGGCTGCCGCAATCTATCCTCGTGGAAACCCAACGAGACAGCGGAGACAGCCATGTCTGCTGTCTCGGCAAATCCGGTATCTCGGCGCTCCGGTGTCAGCCCTCTCTCTCTCGGCGAAACTCGACAACGCGACATCGTGGTCAACGCGATGCGCTTGTGTTCTTTCGGACGCGGAGATTCCATACCCCTCGAGGTAGAGTTGGCGCTGTAGCAGTGCTTTCCCTTGCATATGAGCGTAGTAGGATGCATTCTCCTGGTAAAGTATTTGATTCGACTTGAAACTCACTCTGGCCAAGAGTAGCGTGCATCTTCGCCCAGACGTCCCTGTCTTCCGCCGTGAGAATGCCCACGCCGACGTCCTTCTCGGGAGACATCTCCACGACTCGGATGAGCTGGGTGAGGATCCTGCTTTCGTCGTGGGGCACTCCTTGGGCATCGTACGCGTTGAAGGTGAACATCTGCGTGGCACAAGACTCGCACTCAGCTTCCAGGAGCAAAGTACAAGGAGAAATGTGTGGTGTATCGTTTTCCTTTGCATGGATCTCTATGGACTTGAGAAAGTGAACTAGATTTTTCGGCAAAGCATAATTGAACTATGTTTCTCATATGGCTGAATATCCGTGTGAATTCACGCTTAAAAATTCTACGAGATGCAATTTTTTTAACATGACGTTGATTGAATAAAAAAATAAAACAGGATAACGGATTTCTTTTTTTTTTTTTTTTGCTCGGAGGTTTATTTGATAGTATAGTTTGTTTAATTCTAGGTCCGAGCGCGGCCGATGTTATGAGCCGAAGAACCAATCAATCAGCGCAAAAAGCGCAATGTCATGGCGTGCTCTCTGCGCTTAACAGGACTAGCCGGTGGAGGAGCACGCACAGAGAGACGGCGAATACTGGCTGGCCCACTGATCTCTACTATAGAGGGCTGGATGGCGCTTAGCTGCACTCCGAGCCTGGCGCAAGTGAAGCCACCGGAAGTTCGATGCTTGTCCCGGAAGTCGGGCGTGCGCTGGGCTTCCTTCTGCATTCATTCGATATTTTAGACGATACTTTTTTGTGTCTTTGATCGGATTTGAATGCTCACGTTCTGGATTAAATCCCGAGAATGAGTCATATGAACGTGGGACATATTTACACTTGATCAACTAGAATCTCAAAATGTTTACATCGAATGGCCTCCCATGATAGTTCTCAGATCTGCATGCGCTCTTACTGCGCAACAAGCAGGCTTCCTTGAGGGAACAAGCGAAAATCTAACGCCCTCGACGCTTTTCGAACCAGCACTCGGAAGGGTTACAAAGCCTGCCAAGCGCTCACTTCCGGGACAAGCCACTTACTTCCGGTGGCTTCATACCTGATCGCTCAATGGGCCATCCAGCCCCCTCTAGTGGAGATCAGTAAGCTGGCCTGGTCAACAGCACAAAGCACGCCATGACGCTGTGCATATTTCGCTGTTTGATTGGCCCTTCGGATCATAACATCGGCCGCTCTCGGACCGAAGCTGGAACGAAGTATAGTAGAATAAATAAATAGCATTCTGGTCGTCAGTACAACATATATTAGTAAATCGAACCGCTCTGCCAGAAATAAAATTAAGTGTGTTCCTCGCTGTCTAGATTGTTTCACTAAAATAAATACCACATTCGACCCAACTGTCATTCATTTGTTTGACCATTCTTAGGCAAAGGTGGACGTTGGCTGATATAAGCAATTTCATTTTGGGTTATATTTTTTTAATGTATTTAACATTAAGTTTTTGAACTTGCGCATGTCATCACCACATCTGGTGTCACTCATTGACATGAACTTTCAGCATCCTGCGGAGTTAGCTATTTTATGCAGATATAAATTCAGTTCTTATTTTAATTTTTTTACGCACCGGGTTAACCGCTGTACACGCAGGGTGCGATGCAGTTAGCAAAAGAAACGCGGTCCTCGGTTCACATTTCCGTCCAGCTAAAACGCAGTGCAGCGTTTTGGGTTTCTTGGATTCGAAGTTAAGTCGGTCTGGAACAGTTAGTAAAAACATTACCTTTTTTATGTAGCTAAAATAGAGCCGAAGAGGGGGAGCAGTCTTTGTAGTCCGGTGCCATTTTGTTGTGAAGTCTCCATGTGCATTCTCTCTGAGGAACTTGCGCCGTATTAACTTATGCCCTCGCGCGTAGGGTTACCTCACGGTGGGAGGAACCAGTGAAATCGCGAGGCGATAGTGCAACCAAACGAGAGAGTAGCATCCGCGGTGCGATGGTGAACCGTGGGGTTATTTTCCAATGTTATGGAATATGAACATTGCGCGTAACTGATGCGAGCGTGCGGCAAGTTCCGCCGACAACGCGGCACATGAGTCGGGTATCGCAAGCCGATGCTCTCAGGAGTCTATCAAGTCGAGAGGAGAAATGTTCTTTCGGGAGTCGCTGTATGTTGTTGCGTGCAGCAGTTATCGAAATGTCTCGATTGGTGAAATATCCGTCTGTGGGCATCTAGCTTGGCGAATTCCTCTCGTCATTTTCAGGTGCTTGAGGAGGGACTTTTCTGGAGCGCTTGTCTACCACTGGACGTTTGGGATCAATACAGACGTCTTTCGCTCGTTGCTACGAAGCAGACCCGACTCCAGATCTGGATCTGGATTGCCCAGATCTCGTTCCGCTGAAAATTGAAGATATAACCGGAAGCGGATACCTATGGAGCACGCGACTTCGACTTCGTACCACATGCTCCGACCAGCGATACGCTAACACCCTCGGCCACCAATATCTTTTCTTTATTGTTCGGCCACCAAACGCCCTGGCGCCAATTGTAATGAAGTATTCACACAGGGATGCTTTGCGTGGATCACCGTGATCAGCGATCGGCGGAACCAATGGCACTCCCACCCGGAATCCAGCATTCACAAGAACCACGGGGAGCCGAGGGAAGTGTCTGTGTTAGCAGACTCATTTAGCGGTGGCATTTTCGAAAAATGGGTCTCGGTGCGCGCTGCCGAGGGTGTAAAAATGAAGGCGTACATCAAGCGGCGATACGGGACTATGGCATCAGCAGTGGCGGATCCAAGGGGGGGGGGGGGGGGGCGGTGGGGGCGATCGCCCCCCAAACGCCTCGCCAGGCAACCCCCCCCCCCCCCCCCCCGGGGTTCTTCGTCAGCTCGAAGAAAAAACGTAAGCAATCGACGCGAGGAACAAAAGATAAAAACAGCGGTGGGTGGATGCGCCAGCTGGGCGCTTCCAAAGTGGGGTTTATCTCCGTCAAGGTCACGGTACGTCTTCCCGACAGGGACGCCGCCAGGAGTTTGGAAGTGGAGAGACAGTGGGGAGGCGCACCAAATATCAGGGTCCTCGACTGCAGGCACACTTTTAAACAAGGCCAGCACGTCGAGCATGGGGGGAAAATACCTTCAACATATCTAGTCCCCTTCCTCTCTCTCTCTCTGTCTCCCTCTCTCTGGGGGTTGTCTGCGAAAAATTTGTGCCCTGGAAGCTCCCAAACGCAGACGTCAAGCAGCCTTCCTCAAGGGTAGCGGATTATCCTTCCTCTCTAGCGGCCGCCTTTTCATCACTTTTCGTTTGATGGTTTCTTCGTGGTTCTGGGCTTGTCTTTTGGCATGTCTTTTTTGGCTTGCTTTGAGTTGCTGTCGCCCACGGGCTCACTAAAGGTATCTTATTGGCACGTTGTGCTACTTGCCAAGGGAGGTGCGGAGGGGACGTACCGGGAGGAGACGTTCCAGGGGGGGAGGGGGATGCAGCTTGTACAACCAGGTGACCAATTGTTTGTCTTCTCAACTGAGAGAGGAAGCAAATTCCCTGGGTACAGTGTAGTCTGGGGTCTGAGGTTCTCCTGAAGACGCTCCGGACTTCCCCACGACCTTGGCTTAAACATAAGCCCGCTTACGTCCTCGCCTCCATCCCTCACTCAGGATCAGCGCCGCAGCGCGGAATACAGAAAGAAGCCGACGAGCGCCAGAAGGGGGAGATGTTTCCTCTAATGGGCTTCATACTGCCTGCGGTACGACTTCTCGTGGCGGGAAGCTAATAAAAGAAAGATAAACGGTACGAGCACTCTAAAGGCTGGAGGCTGCTTACACGGGGTCCTCAAGCCGACGCCGTAGGCATTTATTTGTATACAATGCCGTTTCAATTTAGGGTGGCGGGACATATTTTAGGAAAGGCGCCCGCTACCCCTTGTCTCCCCTTGGCGCCGTCTTTTCCAGTTAAACGCGGCTTCTGTGGATTGACGGCAGAGGTTTCGGGCGGCTTTGCAGGAGCGAATATGTGTGTGTCGAACGGACTTGGGGAAAACGAGCCCTTTCAAAGATGCGGCTACACATAAATTAAATGGACAGTGCCTGTGCCCGTTCGAGTGAACACCGACTCCCAAACATCTATGCTGCAGTCGTGATCGGCCATAAGCCCAGTTGAGATTCGCCGACCTTACAACCGCTCTGCCCTATCATATCTCTGCACCCGTCCTCTCGACCCTGACGAATGAGCTAACTACCCAGAAACAAATAAGTGTTCCTTTGATACAGAAAATATCCAGACGAAGTGCAATCGAATATAATTTGGAAGGATCCATTGCTAGTTTAAGGTCTTGTCTAAGTTCAAAAGTTATAGTTGCCGAACTGCAACATGCTTTAAAAAATATTCAACAATTATTCGCTTTCGTTCTCTCGAGTTGCATCCAGAGCACGTGAAAACACGAGTTTGGGTTGTCAATGCCGCTTGTGCTGCGCTCTGGACATTCCAAATATACGTCGAACAACCGACGAACTTGCATGGCAGCGTTCGTTTCGCTCGCTGCGTCAACAGTGTTTTGACACCACGAGCAGCGTCGAAAGCCGCCGGGCCATTTTTGTCGCTTGATTGCGCTGTACTCGCTCCGCTGATTTAAGCCGCTCTTCCCGTTGCCTCAGCAGTTGAGCAGTAGCTCCAACCAGAATGTCTGCCAAGGCAATGTCTTTAAGCTGCCCTAAATCGACTGCTCACGTAGTGTCGGTCTGAAACCCAAGTTTCAGAAAGGATAGTGTCACCACAATTTTCGAGATACTTACCTCTAGCGTGGTCACCCGAAAGGTTTTAACTCAAAAAGTTTATCCCCGACAGGTAAACCGATACAAAAGCTCTCAAGATCTATATTATGTTATCTGAGTTTAGTAAAAACGATAACTCCACAAAAAATATAAGCACTCCCCCCTCCCCCCCCCCCCCCCCCCGCCGTGTTACACCGAGGAACCGCCCCCCCTAAAATGGAGGTCTGGATCCGCCCCTGGGCATCAGTGCTGTTAGATGCATCAAGATCATCTGGTGGGCTAGCTGGTAGAACATATCATGAATTAAATGGCGCAACACGACAAGAAACAGAAATGCTTCTTGAAGGGGCGGATGCAACAAAAAAGAGGTAGAACCCCGACCAGTTATATGAGGAAAGGCTTCAGGACGACATTTATTAATATCGATTACTCTTTCGGGTGCCTCGGACGGCGCACGCAACAAAACAAGCCACAGGTGTGCCTATCTCTATGCTACCACCAGTATCCCGCTGAGAAAAATCAGTAAAGTTTGCCAGAGACGCAAATAAAATACCGGCATTTTCATACAGACCCCACTTCAAGGGGGGGGGGGGGGGGGGGGGGAGGGGGCCGCTTGTTCAGTACGAGCAAAAATCTCCCCCTCCCCCGAAAATATCTACGTAAGCGCGGCTTTGTGCTAAGGCGTGACGCTGTTACAACGTGACGGCATCCCTGCATGCCAAGGAAGGAATTTCTCTACTCTGCGATTGAATGGTGTCAGGGGATTTTGGATCAGATTAGATTACGTAGGTGTAACTGCTGAAGGCACAGGAAATTATATGTGTTTTTGTATTCTCTGATTTTCTCCTTTCCTTTGGTGTCACATACCAAACATACGGTACTAAAACAGTTTGCTTCTACTTTGCCACGTTGTATAAGGCGAGAGATGGGTGTTCTTTATGGTCAACTGATTCACTCCTTAGTACTTTGAAGTTTCCGATTTCGGAAAGCTGAGACAAAAACAGATATAAGTGCTTAACTGCTACTTGGCAAAGCGATCGCTGGGCAACAAAAAAGCATGGGTTTTTGATCACTTTGGCACGCATATCTGTGAACCGACATTCGCGATTATGATCTATCACTTTTAATAAACACAGCACGGTTATCATCTATTTCGTTTTTATTTTGTTTACTGTTAGATCCATTACCCCTTTTAAAGCTCTGGTGGCTGCTTGTTGCGCCTTGTAATGATAAATGCACAACTCTGCGCGACATACATCTATGTAACTCGTTATCACCTTTGGGGCGACGAAGTTACTTTAATCGAGTGCCTCTGTTAAAGGGTAACTGCAAAGATAAAAAAGTGTTTTTTAAACAGCCTAATTGAGACAAGTATGTGACAAAACAAATCTTCCGCAAAAAAAACACATTTTTTCTAGAAATATTGTTTCTAGCAATATTTACGGGGTCACAACTTCCCCACATTTGAAATTCCGCTCTTTAGACTCGCGCGGAGTGGCTGCGCTACGTCACTCCGTGACGTATAGCAGCCACTACGTGACGTATAATACGAACTTGGTGGCGCGCGATTTAAAACCGACGAAATAGCCGCAAACTAAAATTAGTCTCGAGCAATAAATATTCGTGTAAACATTTGTGTTTTCCGCGGAAAAATTGTTTTGTGACATGCTTGTCCCAATCAGGCTGTTTAAAAATTCACTTTTTTTTCTTTGCAGTTACCCTTTAAGTGATATCATTCCGCCTTGGTCATTGTGTGAACGTTAAATATACTTTCTTAAAAATTGTAGCCCCAAGAACAGCCTTTATTTCAATAACTCTCAACTAAATACTTTTCTAATGCGATCAACATAAATACTCAACTTTTAAATTTGCCTTCACCGACTGGCGCATCTGGGATTCAGCAAAGCGATTCCTTTTGTTCGTCCCCAGAGTAATATTTGGCTTATTGCGTGATGAAGACGGCAGATTACCGGACATCGATTGCACCCAATGGAAGTTCAGCGCTCACGTACCTGGCAGTTGTGTATGACTAGCACGTGTTCCCCAGATTTCTCGAGGGGCGTGTTGAACTCCAGTTTATCGCAGGCTATGGAAGGCGTGCGGTAAACACTGAAGATGCGCTGGTATTGCGACATGTCCAAGGGTGTTTTTCCGCTGACATCAGGCTGGAGAAGTTGTCTGTGCGGAAATATGATAAATTATGGGAAATCAGATATCGCAAATATAAAAAATTTTCAAAACACCATCTACCGACATTCGTAACACACATGTCTTGGGCACGAAGCCTGCGATTAGCTCCGAGTCCTTGGTTAACGCTGACGCCGCCACTGCGTCCGATACCTGCCCAGAGTAAGTAACCAAACAATGGCTGATTCGAATTATTTGTGCACCAGCTGCTAGATGGCGCGGACATTTGATGAAGCCTGTATTCTATTACACAGGATTAACGTATATAAAACTGTGTAGTAGTGTACCACTTTACCTTTCAATTAAATGCTTGAAATTCAGCGCTCCTGCTGTGAGTGCTGCTGCCTGTCTGCAAACATATATACAATAGTATCAGTCTGAGAGTTAAACATTCCCTAGAGAAATTAAGTTATTATAAAAGGTTAAAAATACCTGAGTTGATCTTTTTTCGTGGGAAATTTGTTCCTCGGAAGACTCATTGCCATTGACGTGCTTGACAAAGGAAGCCTTGACTTCAGAAATTTTTCAATAGCTTTTTCTGAAAACTTTAAAACATCTGTTTAGTCTTCCGCGTGATCAGCTGTTTGTATGTTAAGTGCAATATTAATTTAAAAAAAAAAACGCGGAGGAAAGTGGCAGTGCTTACCCAGTTTGGGTTGCGGGAAGCTCGCTCTAGCAATAGCTTTTGCAGAATCTCTCCGTCGCCACCAGGCTTTCCGAAGTCTTTAACAACCTACCAACAGTATGAGTAGTTTAAGATTGCGTTCTGCTCAAGATTTATTTGTTAAAAAAAACAGGCGCGCGCGGTTATATCTTTTAGAGGTTTTACATTCCTGTAGCCGGAAAAAATTATAAGAGATTACGCCAAAGGGGCATGTCTCTGTATCATTCTCGTCACTATTCTTATCATGAGGACCCCCTTCCTACTACGGTTTACTATCAAGAAATATATGCTGGGGGCATCAGCGTGTCCGTGCCGGGATGTATCGAAAAAGCTGGTAGTGACATTTTGCTTTCTTCCCAGACCAACCAAATCAGCCATCATCCAGGGATATGCCGTACTTCAAGTCGCACGGCTTGAAGTAACGACCTCGACTACCATGACTAGGGACAAGCCGTTCGTTGGAGAGTCTGAAGCACATGGAAGAAGTGCCTGAAACCAATGAACGCCTCGTTTGTGGCCCGCGATAGCCACCTGCGACTCTCACGGCAGCTCTTGTGTACAGACTTGTAAATTGTTCAGAACTCCTTCTGCACTATTCTGAGAAATGCAGACTGCATATTACCTAAGGAACGGTTATTTCTTACGCGGAAGACAACGGAAATCACGGCGCTGCTGAACAGTTCGGAGTGCCGCGTTCCGCGCAAGCCGAGGCTGGGTGGAGCGGATGATGAAGAGGAGCGGTCTCTCTTTGAGACGACGCACCACTATCCGCAGAAGCTACCGCTGGACTTCGAGGACAAGCTTGTCAGCTTCAAACGTTATGTGATGAAGCGGCGTCGCGAATCTCGCTACAGACTCGGGCTACAGGTCGGCAATGCTGATGAGACCCCTGTGTACATCGACAGGCCAAGGACGTGCACCGTGAACGAAGTAGGCGCCCGAGAAGTAAAAGTGCGTACGACTGGCTACGAGAAGCAAAGGGTGACCGTAACGCTGTGCATCACAGCCGACGGTCGAAAACTTCCGCCCTACATCATCCTCAAAAGACTAGTCGCGATAGCGACTAGTCGACCGTGGTGCAAACTGATTGCAAGCGGACTACTCTCCTGTGTTTACTTTATTTATTTCCTTTAGAACATTTATTCGTTAATTTTGATTATAATAAATTCATATTTCTTGTGGAAATTAATTTTCTTCGGGGCACGTTCTAAATCTAACCCCCCCCCCCCCCCCCCTTTGAACATCACGGGAGTGAAAAAAAGGGGTGATTAGAATCGAGTAAATACGGTATATGTATTAAGGGTTTATATGGGACGGGTATTACAAAGATGCCATGAAAAAAGTAGACCAATAATGACGACACTACGCGCAATTTAGCTGCAGTTCACCACCCACTGCAGGCCACGCGTCAAACGGAGGCCCCGCCCATTACTACTGTATTGGCTCGGATCCTCGGCTTAACCCGTTCGCGAGACTAGCGCCTCAAGGTCGCGACGTCCGGTGCGTCTAATCTACCGTCCGACACAGTTTCCTGGCCGTGCTATCTAGAATAGGAGTAGTCGAGAATTAGCCGGCCTCCATGTGAAGCGCTTCGTGTAGAACCTACAGGGTAGCTCTAGCGTTCGATCATAGAGCACGCCTGCCAGCGAAGTTCGCGCCAAGAGTAGCTGTTTTTGATCATAGCGGTTCATTAATGTGGCCTGTGTTATTTTTTTTTATGGGTGCTTCAACATTTATGAATTAATTTATAAAGCTTACTGGTGCATCGTAGTGAAACTGGGGGTAACCAGTCTAGCATGCTGGCGCCTAGCGGTGCGCATCCGTCTTCTTTCTCTTCGTTTTCATTGCTTAGCGACAAGACTCGAACCTATGTAGTCGCAATGCCAAGCACTTAACATTCACGAAAACAAATTCCGAAAACGACCAGAGACATTACATATATTACCTCCGAACGTACTCGACGCCCTATTCCATGTTACAGTAGCCATGTCCTCCGTATTACGACAACAGCGCCACTCGCGGCAGTCTACAGTTCTTGCTTCACACGGCCGACGGGGCGCCGCCGACGCTTTCTCCACTGCCCCTATATTCTAGTTAACTGTACGATAGCCGTGGGGGCAGAGGCGCGGCTTTACGTGTGGCAACGTGCTGCGTCGTCTTCTGCTAGAACAGACCACCTAGAACGCCCATAAAACCTGTCCTTGAATGCAAGCAAACTCTTTCATTTATGTTTTAACACAGCTATACCTAAACATTTATTTTCGGCCATATCGGACCAAAAAAGAAACTGAAATGGTGCATACCGAGTTTTAAATCTAGCCATAGCCTCCTCTATAAACCATTTCATTTAGAGCTCTCAGTGCGGTGCCATTTTGTTCGACCGCAGCGCCCTCTCCAGACATTCGGGAAGTTCAGTGGTTTCGGCGGTGTACAAACTCGCGCATGGGGCTGCCATTCTGAAGTGGTTCGCGTTTTTAGAACATCTACGTCTGCTCCAAATTCAGCCTATACCGCTTTGTTGTTTTATTTCAGTAAATGATCAGCTGGCGTAACTCTGTTCCTTTACTACAATAGCAGTACAGTCAGCCGGCGGTACTACCCTCATCCACTGCGTCTATTACGTCGTGAGGGTACGTTTTTATTTATTATTCCAAACTTCCACTCCTTATCCCTAAAGGTCTACACCAGTACGAACTTTGTATATAGTAAAAAAACTACAGCAACGGGATTTACCATACGCCGCAGAAACCGGCCGCTCTGACACAATTTTCTCATTTCTTTTTTTATTAGCACGCAGGTAACAGCGCGATTGGACCTGGTTATTTTTTTTTATCAAGCATATCATTACACGATAACTTGCATATCAAAATCCACGCGTTTGCGCATGAAATTTCCCAAATTATGCAATTTTAAACCGAGTTTGAACGCCAGTCGGATGTTAGGTACAGCCCACTCGGCGGAGCAGACGAAGGGCGGGGTGAGAGGGGGAGATCATTTTTTTCTCTTCCTGCTTTTCCTAGTGGAACGATTTATACTGTAAAAGCTGGCACGTCGCGAAAAGAGGCGGCCGCCGAAAATGGGAAAGGAGGAGCGGGGAATCGGAAGAGGAGGAGAGACTGCCTGCTCGTGCCACAGAAGAACGAGCGGCCAATCGACGCTTTGTGCAGTGCTTCTTTGCTCGAGTGCGCGTGCGAGGCAAGAACGCAAAAAGCGCTGGGCTCATGCTTTTGACGGAAACACGAAAAGAAACGTGGTTCGGGGAGCGGCCGCTTATGACCCAAGCGCCCGCACACTATCTCTGCCCTTTCTGCTTTGCAGTACCATATTTGTCACCGTTCCGCGCGCTCCTCCTCTCATTTTTCTTGCGGCCGCGTGCCCTATGGCTCCGTTATCGATGTGCCAGGCTTTTATAGGGAGTATTCAATGGACGCCATATTTGTGGATGCTCTTTGAAGCGCATGCTCAGTGCGAGGTCACATTAATAAGCTGCTAAGACTGGCAATGCACGCTGTAAAAGAACTGTGGATGCTCGCCGTCATCACATGCTCAGCAGTCGCGTACACAGCTATGGCTGGATGGCCGAATGGGCTAGCGCATACCAGCTGGGAGCGCGTGGAGCCAAAGCTCGCGCTGCAGAACCCAGGATCGTGGGACCAAGCCCCACCCCTTCTCGTTTATATAGAGCCATCCGTGTGCACCACCCATATATCGAAAACAGCCCATTGCCGCCCAGACTCCCGCAGAACCTGCCGAGGGAAGTCGCCACAGGAATGCACAGACTTCATGTGCATAAACAGCGCCTTCACACAAGCTCGCCGAGCGTCAACAGCCAACAGGAACAAAGACTTTCCCGCCGACCGGCCGTCCTACGACCGTTGCCACCGGGAGCAAGTTGACCAATCCGGAAGCGGGGATTTCACGGCGACTCTAATTCCAAAGCGCCCCTCCCAGTCGCGCGCTGGTAAAACTAGATTACTTTGCTTTTCGGGGACTCCACATTCCAGATGCTGTGGTCTGCGTGGTCAGAAACGATCTCTCCTTATCTTTGGGAGAGGGTCCCAAAGATAAGGAGAGATCATACATAGTGGGGTGTTGTGACCGGGATTCGCTTCGGCAGCCCGAAGACACCTTTGAAAACCGCGATCTTATGGCCGCAACTTCTCAATAAATGGAATTTTCAGCGCTCCGTTTCTGAAGCATCAATCACGCGCTGATGAGCCTTGAATTCGTAAATATTGAAACGCTGTATACAAGCAGACGGTGCTAGGAAATGTAAGTAGAAATAAGCAATACGTATAAGTCCGTCTGCTCTCCGTCGCATATGTCACACATTTCGGACCGGCTTTGCTTACATATACCCCTCTCAGACACGAACCTCAAATGGCATTTAGCGTAAAGGTCCTTTTCGTGACCCTGAGTTCCCGCAACTCCTTTACGGCTGCTAAAGGCCTACTCTCGCCATCAGCGGTCTACACTAGAGAAGTGCATTAAAATAAAAGGTCGTACCAATATCTAAGGTTAGTGCTTTTGCATTTTTATTATTGAAAAAGAGCGTGTTTTACGTATATTCTGTACAAACCTCGCTCTACGAATAGTTTTCTGTACTCACGGCCCCAGCTATCTGGTAGGCCTCGTCGTCGCCTGCTCGCATCTTCCGCTTTGGCAGTTCGGTTTTCCTCCTGTCGATTTTCCTTAGAACTACAGTTATCTAGCTTTTATTTCTCCACTTTATATTTTATCATCCTTTAATAGTGTATTACTAACTGTTGTGTATATATATTTATGTATGTCACTGTAGCGTCGTGCGATACGTCG